GAGGGATTTCCCCGCCCCTCACCCGCTGGGTTCTCCCTTGGGAGAAAGGACCCTCCCTTCCCACTGCTCTGGCCTGAAGATGTCCCAGTGTGGCTGAACAGCTCATGGCCAAGCCACTGCCACACGTAGTCACACCCTCTCCAGCGCCCCCATCCCCTACCCACCTTGCAAAGGTCATGGCCAACGAGAGGGGCTGAGGGGGCAGCAGGACCACCTTGTGTGGGACGGGCACACAAAGGGTTCTTGCCTGGCTTGGAGTCAGTACAACCCTCTGTGCACCAAGCACGGCCCCGGGGGACACGGGCGCACAAGACAGACAGGTTTCTGCCAAGACCCTGCCTCTGAGAGCCCCCAGGCTAGCAGAGAGGCAGAGATGAGTGACCCTGGAGTACAAATGGGTGAGTCTGCTGCGGGCTGTGGAAGGCAAGGATGGTGCGGCACCAGAGGGCCCTGGTAGACAGGGGTAAGGAAGACTTCTCAGGGAGGCAGTATCCGGGCTTCCGAGCCTCAAAGCTGAGCAAGCTGGGGCCGGTGCTGGAGTGTGGGGTGCAGCGGGGTGAGGACAGCTCTCCAGGAAGAAGAAGCAACAGGCACAGAGGCCTGGAGTCCAAAGGTGCCCCAGGGTCTCTGAGGGACACATTCAACCACCCACTCTGTGTTTCCTGAGCTTGACTGTGCCAGGAGCCGGTCTATGTGGGGGACAGACTGGGAATAATGCCCTTGTGGAGGCTGTGTCCTCATGAAAGGATTCAGTCAACACACAGGTCACCTCAGATGGCAAGAGAAGCTGAGAAGAAGGCAGACCAGGATGACCGAGCGGAAGTGATCCTGAGAGGGTGGGCGACACTGAAGCGGAGAGTGGGGGGGATCTGACTCCTCCTCCTGCCCACACCAGCCTCTGCTGGCCCCTCGGGACCGGGGTACACCTCTCGTTGCCAACAAGATTCTCTGGGGACAGTGCCCTCTGTCCCTCTGCCCGGGACTTCCAGAGAGATGACCCCCCCCTCCTGGGACCCAGAACCAGGGTGCGCAGTGACGGAGGAGGGGAGAACAAGCGAGGTGGCCAGCCCCATGCCCTCCAGGAAGGAGCTAGTAGAACCCAGGCGTCAGGCTGCCCCGTCAAGTCCTGTGGTGACAAGGGCCCCTTTGTGCCCCCTCCCCCGGGGACAGGGAGGAGCTGGGCCCTGGAGGCAGGCGGCCCCTGGCACCCAGAGGGAGGGGAGGGGCCGGTAAGTGGGGGCCTAGACCCTGGGAGGCAGGGGACTGTGAGCGGGCCCGGCGGAGCAGAGCAGAAGCAACAGCATCCACGTGAGTCCTGCAGCAGAGAGGCCGGGGCACAGG